TTGTTTAATCACTGTACATTTGGTTTTTTACTTCATCCTTATTCTTGTATTATATAAATATTATGATTCTTGTAATGAGAACTTGTTATAATTAACTTATCACTCCAAGGTTTCTCAGTAGCAAGAGCTATGAATGAGCCATATGCTTCATACTTAGATAGGAAGCTGTTTTAGACGTTCTACCTAGCTTATAGGGGAGTTAACATTACTGTGTCAGGTGCTGTGTTAAGTTTACTCACATTTCTAAGTCTTGCATCAATGCATGTGATGGAGCTTATTTTCTTTCTCATATCGAGAAAAAGTTTTACCTAGAGGTAAAAATCAATGTTCTGATTCATGTAGCTTTTTCTACTTGACTGAATGTTTGTCATGGGAAATCTCAGATGGTGAGATAGATAATGACTTAGGGTATCACTTTCTTGATTTCCTGTGGCTCTCCCCTTAGTGAGTCAGGTACTCACTAAGTTCCTCCTCAGGGTTGTGAAGAGACAGCTTCTCACAGTACAGCCACCCAGAGAGAATAAAAAAGAACTGGCCAGGCAAAGATCTTTCATACTTGCTGCAGTGGATCAGTTATTTTTTTTAAAGATTCATTAACTTTATTTTATGTATATGAGTGTTTACCTCTGTGTATGTGTGCATCACTCACATAATTCATGTCCATGGAGGCTAGAACAGGGACCCCCTGAAGCTAGAGTTACCTACAGTTGTGAGGTACTACATGGGTGTTGAGACCCAAACCCATGCCCTCTGAATGAGCAGCAAGTGCTCTTAACCACTGAGCCATCTCTTCAGCCCCATCAGTTACTTTTTAAATAAAATTAAATGCTAAGTAAAATAATAAAAATGAAATGAAATGATACATGACATGAAAAACCTCAATGTAGTTTTTTTCTTTAAAAAAACCTCCGTTAGTTGTTAAATTCTATTGCTACAAAATTTCTAAATTCTCACTTTCAGTTTCTATACCTAATCTCAGTGAAAACTAATGTTATTGTTTCATGTCCCCCAAATTCACATGTTGAAATTCTAGCCTCTGATGCAACGTTCTTAGGAGGTGGGACTATGGGAGAGATGATCAGATGAATCAAAGCCCTCAAGACTAGGATTAATGTCCTTATAAAAGATGCCCAAGAAAGCTACCCCGCCTCTTCCACCCTAAGTACCCAGCAACATGGCACCATCTGTGGATCAAAAAACAGGCCCTCACCTGGAAATAAATCTGCAAATGCCTTGGCCTTAGACTTCATAGCTTCTAAAACCAAGAAATTAATTTCTGTTGTTTACAGGCTATCCATACCCGAATATCAATAGTATTTTGTCATAGTAATTCACATGGGTCAGTAAAGAAACATTTAAATTATGCATTAATACCACATCTATATGTTACTTTCTTGGTTTGTTTGGTTGATTACTTGGCTGATTTGGGCCATAGCCTCATACTTGTAGCACATGCAGACCTGGACCTCAATGTGAAGCTCACACTGGTCTCGAACACATAACAATCCTCCTGCCTCAGCCTCTGAAGTGATAGGATTATAAGCTGAACCAGCATGCTTGGCTTATATGTCATACTTCTTATACCACTGGTCCACATCTGAGAGAATAAAAACCCAGATCCTTACACACCTGTAGTAGTGAACACGCTGTCAGAAGTTCTTAGTTTCTGGGTAGACTAGTAATTGAAAAGACTCACCAATTAAACCTTATGATTGGATCAAGAACACAGAATATAGAAGAGATAGATGGAAGGTCATGGGAGGAGGTCAAGCATCCACAGACCAGACATGAGAGCTTGGAGTGAACCACTATTCCCTACACAGAATCCTCCAAGTAGAAAGGAACAAGGGGGATGAGTAGTAAGTCTAAAATCCCAATGCCTAAATGACTATATCTATTTGTCAAGATTCAATTTTTTTATTAAAGGGGAATAAGAAACTCAAGCACTAAGATATTTTAAAAATTGCATCTGTCAAAATTGAGTGTACATTTGATAAAACACCATTCTGCCTATATATAAATCATTTACTTTTACTTATTTTTTTTGAGACAAGGTCTCCCTGTAGCCTCAGCTGGACTGGAACTCTCTATGTGCACCAGGCTGGCTTTGAACTTACAGAGATTCACCTGCCTCTGCCTCTCAAATGCTGGAATTAAAGGCTTGTTCCATCATGCCTGGTATTATTTACATTTAGAAGAGAAGACAATGGTTTAATCCAAAAAAAGTGAATTTTAAAACATATAATATTCTTATTAATTCTTTAACACCTTCCCCACTTAGGATGATTGTTTCTAGTTCCATTCATTTAATGACAATTATCCTGAATGTATTTCTGGTTATCCAGACCCAGAAAGACAAATGTCACATGTTCTCTCTCCTAACTGGATGCTAGCTTTGAAATCTTAGGTATGCATACTGCAATTTAAAAATCCAGAAAGGTCAAGAAACTAATAAACACCCATGTGGGGGATGTTAGAATGCAATGATACAAAGGGGAATAATAAGGATTAAATGGGGTGGGGAATAGGAGGGCAGAGAAGAGGAGGAAGCATGGGGAGGGATAGCCAACACTAAAGGCCTTTAGAAAAAGCCATGTGGAGCCTACCACTATATAATAATACACATGTGCATTATAAAATGAATTTAAAAGAGTTACCTTATAATAAGGCTACATTGCCCTACTAGATATCACAGGCTAGCAAAGTAAAAACCCCAAATGCCAGGAATGGACTCCCTCTTTTGAAGCTGTTGATCAGGGTTCCAAAAGGCCCTCAAACACCCTGCTATTGGGTTACCCACCAGAACTTGACAGTAAACATACACGAATACTACATAAATACAGTAAACGTACATACAATAAACACTACATACATGAAGTATGGAATAAATGAGAAATTAAGCTGGTGCTAACTTCAAAGCTTTAGCTCTACTAGCTAGTTTTCATAGTGCTGGAAGGTGATAGACAAGCTATCTGAAGAGGAAATTTAGCATGAACCTTACCTAGCTGTAAATCCTGTGAACTACATCAACCACTGGCCTGGCAAGATATGTCCACTGGTGCAATGGTGACATATTATAGGAGTAACCCATTACCTTCTAATTGGATTTAAGGTATGCTTCATGGGATGGAGCCCACACCTGACATTGATATCAGACCTAGGACCCTGAGGCTAGCTATTCCACATGTTACAAGGGGAGAAGCTACTTCTATTATTCTACTAAATGGACATAGTATTAAACTGACTCTTTTTTTTTTGTCTTTTTGAAGCAGGGTCTCCCTATAGCCCCAGCTGTCCTGGAACTCACTTATGTAGACCAAGCTGGCTTTGAACTCACAGAGATCTGCCTGCCTCTGCCTCCCAAGTGCTGGGACTACAGGCGTGCACCACCACAAGTTATTATTATGCCTTGGACACCTATATCAAACTTCTGTCTCCCGAGGCCCAGGGATCATTGTAATAGACAGGATGTAATGATTGTAAGATCCAGAGAAGGTGGATAACCACAGGGAAACAGAGTTTTCCAGACAGATGATCATTTATTCTAGTAACATGAACTCATAACAGTGGTGACAGCATGCACAAGTCACACTTAGCCAAACGAAATCCTAGAATAGACATGGGGAACTAAGTAAGAAACCCCAACCCTATTTGAAGAACTATTGCCAAACAATGGAGTCTGGGAAGGAGAGATTCAGTCTCATTTACTGATGAGACTCTTAGTAGGTTGGTCAGGCTGTGAATGAATCCACACCAAAGGCATTTTGGGACATAAACCTGCACATTATATATACATATAGTAAGAGTACAGAAAATTTGGCGTTGAGTTAGTAAGAAGGGGTACAGATATGGAGGGGATATAAATATAATCAAAATATATTGTATGAAATTCTCAAAAATTCAATTAAAGAAAAACAAGAGGAATAAAGAATTTCTTACAGTATGTTTTTATCATATTCAACCTCCTCCCTTCCTCCCTTAACTCACAGATACTCCCTCACAACCACCAGCTCCCAAGTGCCTGCTCTCTCTTTTTTAAACAGTGGAGCCCACCAAGTCCAATTTTTGTTCACCATATACTCATAGGTATGGGGCCATCCACTGGATCATGGTCAACTTACCAGGGGCGACACTCTTAAAGAAAATTGAGAAAAGTGAATTTTAAGCAGAAGAATTCTTGTCATAAGTCATTCACTAAAAGAGACTTTAAAATATATATATATATATATATACATCTTTTTTTTTTCTTTTTGGTGTTTTTTTGAGACAGGGTCTCCCTGCAGCCCCAGCTGGCCTGGAACTCACTATGTAGACCAGGCTGGCCTTGAACTCACAGAGATCTGCCTGCCTCTGCCTCCCAAGTACTGGGATTAAAGGCATGCACCACCACACCCGGCTTTAAAAAATATTTTACTTATTATTTTAATTTTATGTGTATGAGTGTATTGCCTGCATGCATGTGAGCCCTCAGAAGGGGGCTTCAGATTCCCCTGGAACTGGAGTTAAGGACAGTTCGTAGCCACCATGTGGGTGGTGGGAAATGAACCTGGGTCCTCTGCAAGAGCAGTCAGTGCTCTTAACTGCACTTAACTTTAAGCAGGGTCTCCCTATAGCCCCAGCTCTCCTGGAGCCATCTCTCCAGGCCCAAAAGAGACTTTTAAAAAGGGAAACATAATCTTAATCTTACAGAGAATTTTGGGAAGTTCCATAATATCTCACACAGATCACCAGGCAATTTGTAATGATATAAGAAACATAGAGTTTTTGATTCTAGAAATAAATTCGTATTTCATGTTTGAGCATTTAGCATAATACACAGGTAAAGATTAGCATGATAAGTAACCTATGTGGATGATAAGCTGAGATGATGACTTTATTCAGATGTTTTGTTAGCATGGAGATCATTGCATCCCTGAATTGCTGAGACTTTCCAACTTCTCGCTGCAGTTTTTGTGCTCTGCCTGCTGAGCATAGATACTCAAATATATAGTGCACTTTGCAAGCAAAACTCTGTGGCAGATGAACAAAATTATCTGGCACAATTTGAGGTTGCTAGAGCAAGAAAGTTTTACCTATTTTGGTAATTCTCTTTCCCTTGAGACAACCCGTTATATAGGTTCAAACAACATTTTAAAAAAACTATATAGTGCACAGCAAGGACTTCCAAAACATTTGGACTACTATTTCCCCCCCCAAATGAAAAAGTAAGCAGAATCTCAGCACATGAAATCTCAGCAAGATATATGGAAAAGATAACAAAGTGGAACCCCATTCACTAATAATTTCACATGTTGGTACCTGATTTTCTGAAGAAAAAAACTTGGAAACCACTGTAGAGTTTCACTATAAGGATGGCAATCTTCTCTTTGAAGAAGACTGAACTTCAGTCTTCCTCATATTTACAGTAGACAATGTAACAAATGAAACTTTTGTGAAAAAAATATTGACTTGTAGTTAGACTGAGAGGCAATAGAGACAATGTACCATGTCTGAAGATATGCCACTGACATTTAACATAAAGCCACCTCTTTGTGACTATATCATTAGATTCAACTGAAGGAGATACTTGGTATTACTCACTGTGGTTTTCCAATATCCCAAATGTCTTAGAAAGCTGAAAAGTCTCTTGTTCCCATCTTTATTTGTGGACAGTGACTCAACTAATTAACACCAACAACACATATTTAGTCCCACACTTTTGATGAATATACACAGATTTATTGTTTTGACTTTGAAGACATCAGAAACAAAATTTGAAAAGCCATGAGATGAATATTTTATGCAGATTTTCACTACCTTATTCTTCAATATCCATATTGAGAGTATAACCTTGTGACTTTCTGTTTGGTTATATTACTGTACTGACAAAAGTTAGCTGTTATCACAATCAGTGGCAAAAACATCAAAATGCTCATGTTGTGCCATGCCTGTGGAGGCCAGAAGGGAGCATCAAATCCCCTGGAACTGGAGTTCCAGATGGTTGTTAACTGCCATATGGGTGCTGGGAGTCTAAACTGGATCCTCTGCAAAAGCACCCAGTCCCTCTCCAGCCTGGAATTTTCTACTCCTTAACTTTCAAAATAGTTAATGTGGTTCCGTGGTTTTAAATGGCATGAACCAGTAAGGAAACTGTGGCATATGTATAATGATCCCAGTGTTCACGCTTGCCTTTCATTTTGAGTCTGTCAGCTGGAGCATCCCTGCTCTAGTTTATAATTTTAAGTGTCTGTTAAGAAACTTTTTAGACTTTATACTGTTCAAGGCTGCTCTGTGAATCGTATTTTAGTGAAGTCTGTTGAATATTAAGCGTCCAAGTCATCTCCTATGTGACACACACCCTTCTACATGATATTTCTTACCCATATCCCAGGGGATGACAATACTCAGAGTTATCTTGAAAGCCATGCAAGTCATATGTAAATGATGGTAGCATCTGCCTATCTATACTCTGGTAGAATAGAATTGTTTGGGTAACATTGATGTGACAAATGAGCTTTTTGAAGTAGTTTTGGAATTTGTAGGTCAAAAAAAGTATATGAGAAATACCAAATATCACAAGTATATGGGGAGTGTGTGGTGATTTTAATGAGAATGTCCCCGACAGGCTCCAAGTATTTGTACATTTTGTCTCCAGTTGGTGGCGCTGTTTTGGGCAGTCTTAAAGGTGTGGCTATGCTGGAAACATGTCACAGGGGCAGGCTTCCTGTGTCTGCCTGAAGATGCAGGTGCTTCATTCCGCTCCTCCTCCCGCCACATCTGCCTCCATGCCTCCCGGCCATGATGGACTCTCGCTCCTTGGATAAATTATTCCTTCTATTCATCACTTTGGTCAGTGTTTCTATCACAGTAACAGAAAATTAACTAATACAGAGTGTTAGGGAAGGTTGGATATTTGATGCACATATATGTATGTGTGCCAAACCCATTTGTTTCTGAAAAAAGTTTTAAAGATCATGGGACAGAAAAATGAGTGACATAATTACTGTCCTTTAAGAAGCTTATAATTTTCGAGACAGAAAAGCTACATACATTGAGAAAAGTAGTTAACAATAAAAAAATTTGAATAATAGTTCAAAGTAGACATCAATGAGAATATAATACTTAAGGTTTCTTGAAGGAATAGTCCAAATACAAAAACATAAAAATGACAGAAAAAAATGCATTCATTCATGAATATAGGCTAATGAGAGACAGAGAGAGATGCACAGAGATAGCAAGACAGAGAGGGGGGAGAGAGGGAGAGAAAAGGAGGGAGAGAGGGGGAGAGAGACAGAGAGAGGGGGAGAGAGACAGAGAGGGGGAGAGAGACAGAGAGAGGAGGAGAGAGACAGAGGGGGAGAGAGACAGAGGGGGAGAGAGGCAGAGAGATGGGGAGAGAGACAGAGAGGGGGGAGAAAACAAGGCAGCATTTGTAGGTTTTTAGGAAAGAGTTCAGGGCAGATATATAGATATATAAATAAAACTTGGCTTCACATAGTCACTCAGAGACTTGGCCTCCTACTTAGCTGCTACATTGCTCAAGAACACCTTATTATGATGATACTAACATCTAGGTTAAATAAAACACACTTCTCAGTGGCTCAACACCAACAATTCTCATTCACATAAGTTCTAGAGGATAGTTTGAGAGGTGTCAGAAAAGGCTGCATACACAAAGCAATCATTTGAAAACCTAGGTTTACTGAGACACTATGGTCTTCCCTGTGGCCCTGGACATCAGCCAACATTTATTGCTTGTGAAAATTACAAAGATAAAAGTTATTTTAAAATTTTCTTTTTTATTTGTTTGTTTTACAATTTCTTTGACAATAAAATCCCCTCCTCCCAAACCTTACTAAGGTTGTAGCCTAATTTTCCCTGTTTGTTCCTGTGGTAGAGAGAATTTTAAGAAGGCTCCCAAGATTCCCATCTCAAAATATGCATGTTTTCTACACCTTTGAGTTTGGGCAGATTTGTAAATATGGTGGGGTATCATTTCTGTGATTAGATCATAATCAACTGATTGAGTAAATCAGCAGAGAGATACTAAGGTAGGTATGACCTATGAATGTGAGCACTTAAAAGAACCTGGACCTTTTCAGAAAGAAGAGCAATTCCATATAAAGAAAAATCTCCACTGCTAGTTTTGATGGTGACAAGCAACTTCTAGGAGCTGAAAGCAAACTTCAGCTGACAACCAAGAAGGATATGGGACCCTCAGTGTTACAACCTCAAGAAACTGAATTTTGGAATTGAATAGATGGCTCAGCAGTTGAGAGCATTGGCTTTTCTTGAAGAGGACCCAGGTTCTATTCCCAACACACATATGGTGGCTAACAACCATCTGTAACTCCAGTTCCAGAGTATCTGACACTTTCTTCTCACCTCGGTGGGCATTATACAAAAAGGGTCACCCTACCTATCAACAGGCATTACACTCATACACATAAAATAAAAATATAAAAAACGGAATTAAATTTTTCCAACAACTAATGATGTGGGAAGCTGACCTCGAGTTTTAGCTGAAACCACAGTTGAGTGTGGAGGAGAGGATCCAGTATGTGATGATCAGACTTCTGATCTATGGAGTTATAAGAGAACAGACTTTGTAAGCTGCTGTTTCTTATGCACCAAGAGAAAGCTAATAAAATTTCAAAGTTCCAAGCTGTGTTTCTCACATCCAATCTCTTCCTTCCTTCCTTCCTTCCTTCCTTCCTTCCTTCCTTCCTTCCTTCCTTCCTTCCTTCCTTCTTTC